AGTTATGTTAATGAATTGATAATCTCAGAAGATTGTTAGTAGGCATCAAGATAATACCAAAATTGCAATGGAACATGGTGTCACATCGGTGGTATGGGTATATAACATCAAATCGAAATTACATACACAAGGAAGTGGATTGGACGCACGGGACCCGTTGCTTGGCCTCCATGTTCGCCGGATCACAATCCGTGCGAATTTTTTCTATGGGGGTCACCTTAAATCACTCGTTTAAGCGACGCCTGTGGACACACTGGAGGATCTCATAGCGTTTTCGCTGCATCAGACATCAAAAGCATACGTGGTGTCTTCGAGCGTGTTCGGGAATCGCTCGAGAATAACATCTTTATGTCGTTGTAGACTGTGCAAGGACGTCATAAGTCGGCACTTCCAACAACTGTAGTTGTTATTGTACTTTTTGACGTTCCAGCGTGACGTCGAAACCTGCATGCGTTTTTCGCGATTTTCACCCTCTCAGCGTGGTTTGCAACACATGCACACCCTAATCCATTGAAATTTTTTGTTTCTGTTGATGTCTACTAACATCCCTCTGAATTTCTCGGTCTATTAACAGAACATACTGCATACCTTGATAACTAAAAAAGTACCAATTACAATCCGTTACATAATAGAATAATACAAATTTATTATCAATTTTGGAGAAAATTTCAGAATTTTAATGCTTTCAGTAATGTGTACGGAATTTGTTACGGACATTTTCTCAGATGGAAAAAAAAAATCTGCATGCTTTTATGCAAAATACCTGCAGATAAAAAAACCTCTATCTACAGTAAGTTCTTCCCTCCTCTTTTCATTCTCTTTCTTCTGACGTCATCTTAGATATTTTCAACGTGTCTCGAGTTATCTAGAATGCCAGTTAATTAGTTATCTTAATTAATCAAAGCTTAATTACTAATTTCAATTAATTTAATAAACTAATTTTTAATTCAACTTATTTCTACGACAAAACTTCAAATTCCTCCGAGTCGAGGATCGAACCCGCGTTCCTAGATTTGGCAAACAAGCGCTATCCCCTATACCCGATAGAACTCCGGAAATGTGATGTCAAATAATCTATTTAAGTTCTATTCTTCACCGTCTAGGAGCGCTATCTAGTGTTGTAAATATCAACTATTTCCAGAATGCGTAATGTGTTTTGAAGTTAGTTTATATGAATGACAACAGGTTACTGCTACATGTCTAAACATGCATGAACAAGCAATAGAAAATTATTTCAGAAAAGTTTCTTTCTTTCTTTGATATTTTTATTATGCTTAATATGTTTTTAATATTTTTTATAATGTTTAATATGATATTTCACACATAAATATTTTTTCGTTTATTTCTTTACTTTAAAGAAAAAGTTTTTATAATTTGTCAGTTTTCCTACGAATCGATATATAGATATACATATGTTTAAAAAGAATCTTTTTTAAATATTTTTTTTTATTCACAAGTAAATCAAGATTTGCATTCCACTGAAAAGAAGAATTTATTATGTTTATTACAGATTAAAATATTTTATCATCGTATTTTACACGTAAAATGCATAATTCTGATTTGCATGAAATTAAGTTTTTTACGGTAAATTTTAAAAGTTACATTTTTCTACAAATATATCCTTTTAATATATTAAACACTAGTCCTCTACCCTTCCCTCTTCTCTCTATCCAATCCTACTTCAAGCTGCTTGAATCCGAATTAGATACCCTAATATATGAAAATGTATGAAACCCAAATAAAATAAAAATCATTCGAATTTTATGCATCAAAAGCAACTTTCATTTTTCTTCAATATACCTGAAGAAAAATCTGCAAAATCATTGAAAATAAATTGAAGTCTATAAACTTTGAAAAAAGCCTGTATAAAACCTTCAAAAAACCTGTACATTTCTCGAAGGAACCCTGCAGCTTTTATTTTCCTTTAAAAAACCTATAGAGATCTCCAAAATTCCTTGATGATAATTTAGAAGTCTTAAAAAGCCTGCATGAAACCTTTAAGTAACTATATATTTCCAGAAGGTAACCTGCAGTTTTCATTTTCCTTCAAAATCCCTGTAGAAACCTTCAAAATACCTGTAAAATCTCATTTTTTAAAAAAGGTTTATTGCTGATTTTTTTTACTTGGGCTGTTGCATTAATCAACAAATTTGAAGCTATATAGAAGCAAATATTCATTAAACATCTACTTTTACAACTCCAGCAAATGAAGTACTGCAATTCATTAATTCAAAAGACAAACAATATTTTGAAGGAAAAAAAAGAAATGCGCAGTTCGTGTCCGCACCGTAGATTTTTCGTGGAAACGTCGGAATAAAACCATAAATGAAGTATTTTGTATTAATATGTAATTTAATTATCAATATGTTTAATACAATATTTACACAGAGTAGTATAATTGTTACAAAATAGATAAATCACAAGCTACCACAAACTCTTAATAAATGCGGTAAACTTGTTTTTTATCTATTCTGTAGCCATTATACTACTATGTGTAAATATTACATTAAATAGATTGATAATTAAATTACATATTAATACGAAATACTTGTTTTAGGATTTTATCCCGCCTTTTTCACGAAGAATCCACGGCGGGGACCCGAACTGTGCCTTTCTTATGTTTTATTTAAAGGAGCTTCTGATGGAGCCATCTGTTGACAGTATATCGAACTGTATTTCGTGTATACGCATTAAAATATTATTTACCACAAATGCTCATATTTCCCGTAATATTCAAATTTTTGAATTAATTTTGAATTTGATTTTAATACTATGTTTCTTTTACGCATTTTCAATTATTCTGTAAGTTTCGTAAAATTCAAAAGAAAACTCTGAATGTTATTATCAAAAACTATGCAGAGTTTGAAATTTTCAGGGAATACAGATTTTTACTTATATTCTGATAAATATTTTTATTGTCTAAATTTGGGTCCAAGTAATACTCCTCAAGCTCTTTAAAATGACATCAAAATCAAGCTCCTAGCTAAACGCGTTTCCACGATATACTTATTTATATCCTTACATGAAGCTAATTCATAACAAACACGCGCATGCGCCTACACTGGGACGATGATGTCACAGGAAAAATAAATACTATGCGACAAACTCTTACAGATATGATCCATCTGTTGTGGGGTCAACCATTCTTTTCGCATTATTAGTCTCGTAGTTATTAGCGATTCAAATCTGACGGTATTTTGTAACACAGAAAAGTTCGACCGACTATCACTGTAACGAACGAAAAGACGTTTTCACGTCGTAAATTGACAATGGGCAGCGTGTGCCTACACTTAATGTCTCAGCTTAGGGGCAGGACGGTTCAATGCTCTAAAACTGATTCTACGAAAGATCCGCCGTGGATATGAGTCCACTGTTCTTTAAATCTTAAGTCGAATGTCCTCCGTCTGATGTAATGCGGAAGCTTGGAGAGTGGGTGCTGCTGAAGAACCATCCTCGCCATCTGACCACTAGCTCAAGAATGGGAGGTTCGTTCCTAAACAGCCCACTGTTGCTGGAAAGAAAAATTATACATAAGTATAACTAAATTAAACTTAAATCGTTTGAGACTAACGAATTTATTCTCATTTAAAAAAGTTGAATAATTTCGTAAAAGAAATTATTTATTTATTTTAATGGGTAGTTTTAAAATATAGAGAGACTCTAAATATAGTTTTTAAATGAGAAAAACTATTGGTGAAATAACATATTTGGTATCAGAGTAAAAAAAATAAAAATTGCTTCGTTTTGTAATGAATTTATTTCTATTCAAAGACAATTGTATAGTAGTGTAGAACCCTAAATCTGATTGTGTCGATGAGAAATTTTATAAATTTTGTTTGTCTAACAACTACAATTTCGTTTAAATTACATCAAGAAACAAAATAAACAATTCAGTACCGAAGAAATTCGACTCTCATTAAAAAGGTAAGATTGTCTTTAGGAAAACAACTGTACTTTTTCCTGCTAAATCAGCAAAACACTAACGAGACATGGTCTGCTATAATGAGACACTTTGGCAACCGCTGTCAAAAGAACTGTTGGTCAGTGAATACAAAGCTAAGAAAAAGAAAGAAGCCCTTAGAATGTAAGGAGACGATTTTTTTTTCTTTTTATTACCACAGACATTGTTTAATGTTGCGCAATGTTTGCAGCATAATACCTTTCGATAACGTTTCGCCTTACTGTTTAGAGATGGATTCCATAGCAGTCGATTATTGATCGCTTCTACGTTATAACATTTCGTTTAATTAATGTATGCCAAGCTGCAAGATTTTTGCAGATTATATGATGATAAGATGAAAAGCATTTTTTTATAATTACTTGAAAAGGTGGAGCTTTGGTAAAAAATAATCATCCGAAATGCAAACGGTAACCAATAATAATAAATTTTGATTTCGATTTTCATTTCTTCTACATTACAATACTTCGTTTAATTAATGTATGCTCAGCTACAAGATTATTGTAGACTATATAATGATAAGAGGAAGAGCATTTTTTTTTACAATTACATGAAAATGAGGAGCTCTAGTATAAAAACTAGCAATATAAAAAGAAATTTTAAAGAACATTCCTACTTAGGTCAACAAAGAAAAATTTTACTTTAGAAATTTTTTCTCCCATATAAAACTAAAATTAATTAATTAAATTTAATGAATGAATTAATATTTGAAAAAACTGTATAAACATCAAGTGTTATAAACTACAAGTTGAAAAAATGTATTTGAAATTGAGTGGATGAATAAAAAGTATTTTATTAACGATTGAAAATTTGAACAAGATATATAAATATATATTGGGAGAGTAAGTATTATTTTTAGTACTATAAGAGTACTATTTTTTACTTCAATTCCTAAGTATAATAGTAAGAATTGAAGAAAAAAATAGACCAAAGTTTATCCATTCAAACGGGGAACTAAACTTTTTTGGATGCAATTGCCGACAAGAGATGTTTTTCAGAATATAAATGAAGAGCAAAAATGATATGTCATGAGTAAATCTCTTGTCCCGGACTTGATTTGAACACGCAAACTTCTTATCTGGAGTCAGACGCGCTACCGATGTGCCACCGATTCCCGTTCCGCATTTATTATCCCTACACCATGATTGTAGTTTGCGCGAGGCTCTCATAAATAAAATTAATTAATTCCATATAATTAATGAATTAATATTTGTAAAAATTGTATTAACATCAAGTGCATTCCACTGCAAGTATTAAAGAATGTATTTGAACTTGAGTGGATGAATAAAATGTATTTTATTAACGATTGAAAATTTGAACAAGATATATAAATAAATACATATAGGGAGAGTGTGAACTAATAGTAGGAATTGAAATAATGATCCGAAATGCAAAGGGGAATCAATAATAATAAATTTCGATTTCGATTTTCATTGCTTCTACATTATAATACGTCGTTTATTTAATGTATGCTCAGCTGCTAGATATTTGCATATTATATATTTGGCTTTTGGATAATCCTCCTTAGTCTTTTCATAACAAAGGTTATTTAAGCAGTGCAGACATTACTAAAATATCACAGCAGTTCTTAAGTAAATTAGGAAACTTTCTGTTGCAAATAAATCATCTTTTTAACTACTCAGCTTCGACTCAATGCAGAGAAAATAGAATTTGATTGAATCCTTTATTTCGTATATCGCATGTGCAATAACAAAATGCAGGGGACTCCCAAAGAAATTGACTGATTTTTAAAATCAATCATTATTATTTTTTTATTTGACATTTTTTATATACTATGATTTATATTACTTCACTCCTATCATTTCTTCACTCAATATGTACATACCTGTTTAGAATGTGCAAAAAATATGAACGCAATTTTGTAAAAATAATTGACTCACGTGTTTTCTGTAATCAGCGAATCAATTATTAGCAGTTAAGGTTTTGTTTTTGAAAACAACAACCGGACATTTTTTTGTGTGAGTGACGCTTCAACTCGTAAAAAACTTTTTTCTTCAAGAATTTAAAATCAAATACAGCGCTATCTTATGATTTTCTGTATGTATAATGATTCATGTCCATTCTACACGTTGTCCTGTATTCGTAAGATTCCATGAAGAATATTGAGCCTTCTTTATATGAATAATATATTTATTGACAACATCCACAACACAGACATTTTTCACAAACACTCACGTAACAAACATTACATTAATTCACATCGAATTCATCTTAACAACCTTTCTTCCTCTTCGATGTGAGGCAAAGTTCGCTCAGACAAATATATCGTTGCCACTTTATTTTTATAGACTTTAGAAAAGTAATGATACCAAACGATTTTTTAATGAATTTTTTTGCGGTCAAAGAATATTTTTAAATTAATTTCCTTTCTGGCCAAACGATTTTTCTATCAAATTAATATTTTTCTTTAAATATTTTAATAATTCTACCAATATATATTTTCCATTCGCTACAAATATTACAAAGTTTAATAATTTTCAATTTTTATCAGCCTGATGAAAACTAAAGATTATGTTTATCTTCTTAGAATACACAATAAAAAAAGGGATTTTCCAATATACACTGAAACTGGTGCATGAAAATAAAGTTTGAAAGAACTAAATGAGATAGAAGGTATATTTTGGATTTCCAATGCACCTGTGTCTGTAAAGCCAAAGACATGTTTTTTATTCTGCTAGATAAAAATAAATCTGAAAAAACATACAATATCTGTGGTAGGTAGGAATAAAGTTAAATCTCTGGATGTTTGATGTAATCATATCATTTTTTATTTTCCCCTCAGGGCAGAATTATAAATAAGGAATAAGAACAAGGAAATTATGTATTGCATTTATTATAATTCTGTGGAAAATTTAATGTTTTAACCATGTGATTCGGAGCAATTGCGGAACATTGTTCTTTATAAAAAATAATTCTTTATAAAAATTTTCTTTATAAAATCGGTTTGAATAAATTGCTCGAATTTTAATATGCATAATAGTGGTATCAGGAAATTTATCAGCGCCTTTTTTTATGGTGATTTGAGCGTTGAGGTAATTTTGGTAATTTGGAGCATTGAGTTAAATTTCCATTGAAATATAGTACATATCTTCTTAAAAAGTTGTTTTATCTCAAAAATTCTGTATTTATATGAATTATTTTTGGCATTTAATTAATAATCGACATAAAATGGAAGACTATGAGATTGCAAACTATTTTCTTTAACATCTATTGATAATAAAATTTAAAAATATGTTTCAGGTAGGTTTTAAAACGGTGCAGATATTTCGCATGAATTAAAATAATTAGTGAGCTGAAATATTTATAAGCATGTTTTTTGCCTATAACTAAATGGCTAGATGTTGCTTTATCAACATTTAAGATATCAGATTTCCGTAATTATTCTTTTTAATCCACAAATTGTTTAACAGCCCCTTCATACGCAGTTATCTTCTATTATACGAGGTGATTCGCTACCACTGCAACAAGCTTTCATAGGGTGTATGGGGCACAAAGACAATTCCGAATAGAATTGCAGGTCCCGAAATGCATTCTACGTGAGCTACGGTTAAGAGAAGCAAAGAAAAAGAACAGAAACAGCAACACATTATTGCAACAGAAATAATTTTAATGACAAGTAATATTAGTTAAAAGCTACATATTACAGAGAGTGTTCAAAGCAGTCACACAGACTTCACAGCGGCGCCACATGTAATTCTTAACGTTCTGGAAGATTCCTAGCATGTCTTGCATCTTCCCGGCAGCTACTGAGATGCGAGCGACGACGTCTTCAACTGAATCAACGGGCGACTCCTACAACATTGTCTTCATTTGACCCCAGCAGAAAAAGTCCAATCACGAGAGGTCTGGTGATATAGCAGGACTGTACCACCACGACCAATCCAGTGCTTCCAAATGTAACTTTTATGTGTTGGCGGATGTCTTTGATGTAAAGACATCCGCCAATGTCTTTACACCCTTTGTGGAGCGGAGCCCCATCATGCTGGAGCCACATTAAGGGGCACAACGACTGAGGAGCATATGCTTCGCAGGAAACGCTCGAAGCGCATAGTGGTGCGCCTGTTTCAGTCCTATAGGCGAGGCGCATGTCGTCTAGTTCAATGTTTGAATACTCATCCTACTGCCTCAGGAACCGGTTCGCATATGCTGACTTCCAGCGGGATAGCTGTTCACGCAACATTCCGTTTAACGCCCTCTACCGCATGACGAAGGCATTTCGAACCTTGCAATGCTAGGTGATGCCGATTCGTCTTTGTGCCCCAAACACCCCTCCATGCTTGTCGCATTGCTAGCGAATCACCCAGTATAATGTCATATTACAAACATATATGTATGTTTATGGATATCTCTATAATAAGAAATTTTTGAGAATCTTTAGCATTTATCAAGGACTTTTAAAAGGAGTGATCGATTTGCTGAAAATGGCGAGAAGAAATTGAACATATTTTTTTTTTCGATCAGAAAGAATATTTTTCAGAAAGAAAGTTAAAATCTTTTGTAATTGCTTAAGAAAATTGTTATGACTACAGGAAAGCTTCAAAAATAAAGATTTTTTATTGTTATTGCGTGGGAGTTTGTATATATATTTCCATATTTTCCTTTATTTCAAGTACAATCATATGTCATAAAGTAAATTTTAGTCGTGAATTTGGATTTAATGAAACTTCAATTTCAACTGGTTTTAAAAATAAACTTAAACTTAACAGGGTTACCCCAACCTATCGTGTCAATCAGAGATATTGAATAACCGGCGTCACGAGTACAATAGGGAAATAGGGGCGGACTCCTAATAACCATCACCGGCCACAGCACAACCCCACACGAAGGAGGTACGGCCCTTCATCGGAGTGCAGGTAACTCAGTTCCACAACATTATTACATCTCCAAGAAAAGCGAGACCCCGCTTATTTAACCGACAGCTTCTCATACACGAACTGATGGTGCCCCACCTTTGGAGTTGTTTTTATAATAACCCTAACAGAGTTACCCTCGTCCTGCCTTAGAATTCGGAGATATTGAATGAAAGTCGCTTTAATATCTCGAGTTCAAAGTCCCAAATCGTAGTAGCTAACAACGGCCACGACCCGATCCTTCCGGAAGGAGGGATCTGTCGTAGGGATTGTCTCGACCCCCACTATTACTATATCCCAGGGAAAGAGAGAGCCCGCTTAATTATCCGGTGGCTTCTTATCCTTTAACCCGCGGTGCCCCGGAGGAGTGTGTTTTTATAATAAAACAACCTATATTTTATTTAATAATAAAACTGATCAATTGATGTACAAAACTGAAAAAAGTAATTTCTTATACATTATGATGCTTATAATATAATTGCAATTTTTCTGTGTGGGCTGATATGAAATAATATCATTTTCAGTAAAAAAGTTAAATTTAATATACAGAATATAACGGTTTTGCTGCTCACAACTAATGACTAATAATGATTTTTCATACTTAAGAGAAATTGAGATGTTGATTTTTAAAGCTTTAGAATTTACATCTTACCACTATAATAGTTACAGATTTTCTATTATAATATTGCCATGCATTGCACCAATTAGCTCTCTATCTCTGCTTTTTACTCCCTATATTTTGTTAAAGGTTAACCGTATAGGGCAACCTGGTGATTCTAAAAATAGTTTCTAGGGGTAGTTAAGAGGAATTGGAATTAACGAGACCAGAATTTGTTCATATTGTTGAAATTTCCAAATATGCATTTGGTATTTATACATGGTGATTCAACAAAACGGGGCTAATTTTAAGGGTAGGAGAGGAATACAGCGCTGGTCAAAATTGTGTACACTTTTTGAAATTTGCACCTTTTTTAGAATATCTCCTCGAACTTCAAACATATAAAGAACAGGTTTGAACTCACAATTTACATTAAATATTCGGTCACGAGGGCATTTAGGGGAACAACCAGAAATTGATTAAGCCGTAAAGAAATTTTATCTCGCCAAACTTCTCAGAAATCTGATATGTGTTTGTAACTTAAATCAATTCTTTTATGTGATGTGCGCAATATTTACATGTATTTTTTTTAAAAAAATAGCCAGATTATTCGGGAAGATATAAAGTTTTCTTTAAAAAACCACA